TCATGGAGTGGAGCCTGGGTTGGGGTTATGCTGTCTTTTTTTTTTTTTTTTTTTTTTTTTTTTTTAACTGGGGGCGGATCAAATAGCCCAGGCTGGCTTTGAACTTGCTGCGTAGTAGAGGACAACCCTGAAGCCCTGACCCTTTGCTGGCCTTCTCATGCACTACCATACCTACTTTTATGTGGTACCAGGAACCACACCCAGGGCTTCGTGCATTTGAGGCAAGCACTCTGGGCTTCATCTGAAACCCTCAGCTTCCATTTTATAAATAAATCTCTCATCTCTTTAAGGAATGTATCCTTGTGGTGGTTCCTTCCACCACAACTCTACCTTCCCCTGTCTCTAATGCAGCCTGCCCTAAGAGGCACACTCTTTGTCTCCATCTAGATTCCTAGGAACTGCCCTCCGGTAGGGTGGAAGGAACCTGGGCAGCCCTAATTGGCCATATTCCACTGGACCAGGCTGATCTTCTGGGCCCTGGCTGGATTGATCAGTTCCACTCACTACCCAGGTGGTCCTGGTGAAGCTCGAAAACTACCATGGACCAGTCAATGCCCACATGAATAAGACAGATGAGGGGAGAAACAGAGGGGCTGTGAGGCCCAGGGTGGATATCAGAGGCCTCTGCAGAGAGTCACAAAAAGGAGTAGGAAGACCCCCCCCAACTGCCTGATTCTTGATACCTGCCCCCCTGAAATCCAGGGTGAGTCTGAGCCATATGAAGCCACCTATTATCTATCCTTTTACTGGTTTCAACTTAACACCAAACTAAGAGTGAAAGACCTAAAAAGTAATGTTAATGATGGACTAACCTGGAAACCAATATCTGTTCCTTGGAATTTGCTAGCTTCCTCTCACAAGGCCCTGAGATAAGAAGAATTCACACTGCCCCTCCTTTCCTGTGAGTCAACAGGTGGTAAATAGGGTCAAGAGATAGCTGTAACTCTGGTTTGCCCAGACAAGATTAATTAGCACACCTGAGGCCCTAAGGTCTGCTGACCCTAAGAGCAGACCATCCGGCCTCCAAGGGTCACGTACTCAATGGACAAAGGGTCCCACCCCCTCTCTAAGCTTGTGGGTTTGCCTTTAAAAACATCTGGGCCCAGGGGAGGGGGCTTCTCCCTAGCCTGCGTGCTGGAGGAGCCCGTTTGAGCAAACGTTTCCTGTTCATTAAAGCCTCTTGCGTTTTGCAGCAACTGGACTGGACATTGAGTTCTTGAGTTATCTACCGAACCTGGAAGACTCCTCATTCTGAGGGTCTTACAAGAGCATGGTCTAGAGCATCCTCATTCCTCCCAGAATCCTGCTCCCAACCCTCTCAGTGCTGAGGGGCAGGTGCAAGCCTGAGCTTGCAGCTCCTTCTGGAAGTCCTGCCCCTCCATTAATTCCACTAGAAAAGGGGTCTGGTGAGCTCCTTCATCCCCTTTTCCTCCTTTCCTTCCTGCCATGAGACTCTGATACCTATAAGGCATGGTATTGAGAGAACCAGCCTTCACACTGTGCTGTCTCCATTCCAGGCTTCAGGCAGAAATGGATCCAACCATTGCCTTCAAAATACCGCAAAAGCTTGTTGCTATGGTTACATCAGAGCTAAAGTACAGAGAGGTTAGATGACTTCTCAGGGACACACAGCCAAAAGAGCTGGGATTTCAAACACGTAAAATGTGTACCTTGACAAGACTCTGAACTGACAAAAGTTTTACTTTTTCCTGTAAAGCCAGAAAGTTTCATCTCATATATTGGTTGAGTTCCAGTGTAATTTGTGGTAATCACCCTAGAAAAGCCATCTGAGGGGCCCAGGAGCTCTCACTCCCTGGGGCTAGGAATCCCCACTGGGCCTATCCACAGACAGACTTGTACACACCAGGAGGCCAGTGCACTGGCCCAGAGGCAAACCAAGAATTTGCAGGCCTCTGCTCTGGAAAGCTGAACCCAGAAGGGCCTCCACCCTTCCCACAAGCCTTCGGGCCAGAGACCACAGTCAGCAAGCAAAGCAACAAAGCTGCTCTACTTGCCATCTGTCCATCTCTGCCATTCACCTGCTCTCACAGGCCACCTGTGCCCTAGGGACAGGGGCAGAGGCAGGGCCATTAAACACTGCTGTGTGCTCTGCAAAGAGCCCCTGTTCCTGCCACCAAACATCACCGGGCAAGGTCACTTTAGAGAAGCTGTCCAACCTTCCTGCCCTTGGTCTTCACATCCATTAAATGGGAATAGGAATGGAATTTCAGATACTTGTGGCCAGAAGCGTTTGAGATTCAAGATGTTTTCAGATATTGGATTTTTTTTTTCATAAATGTAACGAGATGCTTTGGGGAAAGGAGCCAAACAAAAGCACAGGGTGGTGTTGAGTAAACACTTTACATTGCCCATACATAGTTGTTTCCGTGATTTTCTGTGAGGTATGAAATGGAATTTTCCACTTCTGCAGTGTCAGAGCTTTGGGGTTTTGGAACATCTTGAACTTCGGATTTTCAGCTAGGGCTATACTTATTAAGCAGTACTTACCTTATGAGTAGATTGTGATGGTGTAATGTGTTAACCCCTGTCAAGTTCCCGCCCAATGGGACAGTGGTGTCTAACAGAGCTCTTGCTACCCAGGTGAAAGACCCCTGCCCTGGATACTCCTAAATAAAATGCAAACTGAAGGAGTGAGGAAGCCTCCTGGGAATGGCCCAGTGTCTTGTACCCAGGTCACCCATCACGACTTCCTGTGGCCCAGCTACACTTCCCAGGACCACGGCGTGCTGACCAAGGCTGACCACTCACTGCCCCTGTCATGACTGCAGTGGCTTCTAAGTTCTATTACTATAACTTGCAGTGCCTTGTGATATGCTCTTGGAATGTCTCAACTAATAAATTAATAATAGTCATTAATCAATCATCAATCAATCCCTGGGGCCTGAACCTCCTTCCCTGATCAAAGCTGGATGTCTTTTAGAGTCATATTAGGAACTTTGCAGACAGGGCAGCCCACAAGGGTTCCCGTTATAACTGCCCCAAAGAGCACTTCACCAATGATGGCCCTGATTAGGACAAGGTGGGGCACATGGCCAGAGTCCTGAAGACCTGAGGGAGAGCTCTAGATGCACAGAGGCCTCCAATCTGCCACAGTATCTGCTAAAAGGTTCTTGTGCCTGAGGCTTCCAAGTCCTCCTCCTACAAGCTTTAAGAACATTTCCATTTGCACACTGGCCAAAATGGAGTGTTAGGGAGCACAGACTCCACCCAGCCTGGAAATGTAGGGCCCAGGAGCCAGGAAGGGGAAAGAGAAGTCAAGGGAGGTCTTTAAACTCTAAATTTATTCAGGTGTTTAAACGAACAGAAACAATATCATGCATTGGTTACTTTTTCCCTTTGTACAACAAAACTAAGTGCTCAGATATCTCTGCAGAGGTTTGGCGCTCGCTTTTCTTTCCTTTCTTTCCAGAACGTCAGGCAGACTTTTCAATGTTATCCAGTTTTGCACAGTCACTGGAGTGTCGCGTCATGAATTATTAAATCAGTGCTTCGTGGTAATACATAATTTCTTATCAATTATTCATGCTAATGTGTGTGTAGTTTACTTAATTGTGTTATTGACGATCAAAAGTAATTTCCTGAAAGTCCTCAAGGACACAAAATTTAATCAGCATAACTACTTTTCGGATGCAATGCTGTTAAGTATTCTTAATTTGCCCAACAGTTCACTTATTTATGCACCTTTCTGGAGGAAATACGAGTTTAATCAAACAATTAGATTGAAGAGTTAGTGCGCATAAGGGCTGGAGCATACATTGCTCAACCAAACCTTCGTAATTACAGGGAAATGGAAGCGACTTGGCCGCTTTTTGGCAAATCACTTCATCTTTGTACTCAACAAGCAAAATACAGCAGGAACAAGGATCCGCTTTTTTTTTTTTTTCTTTTTTCTTTTTTCTTTTTTTTCTTTTTTTTGTAAGGAGACAGTGTGTTCTATCCACCGTGTTGCAGTAATCGTAAAGTGAGGCACAATACACTTAGGAGTATTACAGGGGCAGGGGCTCCTGAAGAGTTAAGGGAGAGGCAAAGGGCTTGAAAGCAAAGCCTTTCGACTATCAGAACTGAAATGAAAACAGCCGTCATGAAAGCATGGAAACATCAGCAGCAAAAGCTGCCAAAGACCACCACCCTTCTAGCACCGGGGGACAGGCAGGGCTCACACTATTACACTCTCCCCCAAGATCTCCTCGAGATCACCATCCCCGTGAAAGAGCACAGCCACACTAGACTGAGGCAGAAATCTCTATGAAATTTGGCCCTTTGGAATCCATTCTCTTCCACCACAGGGAGCCATCATCCTGGGTTTCCTGACTGCACATTCACACATGGGCCAGTCCTGTCTCATCGATGGCCCTGCAGATCCCCCTCCACATGACAGGGACATGAAGAAGGGCAGTTCGCTTGTGCATAAGTTACTTCAGGGACCTTCCTGGGGATCTTCCTCCCTCTCTGGGGGCTCTTGTCCTTTTATAGGCCACAAAGCTACTTTCTGATTGGTGACCTTCCCATCATTCTTCACCCTTCTTCTGTAGAGATACAGGGCCTGTAAGTGGACACTCGAGTTGCAGGGGCCCACATTTGTTCCACACCACAGTATCAAAATAGCAGTCCTGGGTCACAGCCCTGACAGGCTATCTGACTGGGACCAGCCAAATGTGCCCAGGGAAATCCACCAGCATCAGGACCACTGTGTACTCACCCAACCAAAACCTCAGCTAATACCTTTAAACAAGAGAAAGGGAGTTGTTGCCAGTCTTGGCTGTGGGGAATGGGAACTGATAGATATTCTACCAGTTCTGCGGTTCATAAACAATATGAGAGCAACTGTCTCATTTTTGTTGAGAGATGTCACCTCTTGGTATCTTTCAGAGGTGATCCATGCCACCGTCCTTGAAGTGACAAGACCTCCCCAGATAGCTCAAGAAGGGTGGTGGGGTGAACAAATATGCTTTCCCCAATGCTGCTTGGCCTGGAAAACAAAACAAAAAAGCCCAAGGGCCTCACCACAGAGCAGTTTCCAACGCCACTAAGAGCCACTGGGAACTGTCACCAAGAAAAGCCAGAACAACCAGAGCCCGCCGGCAGAATTCTAGAGTGACTCTCCAGGCGTCAAATGGCTGCAGGTCTCACTTTCCCTGCCAGATCCAGGAGGAGGTGGCCACTCCCTGTGGTTCAGAGTTGCAGGGCGGAGGCTGAGAGAAGCAGGGGCGGGGAGGGCTCCAGGCTGGGTCACTTTGGACTCTCATACGTTCTTCTCGCCCTCACTCTGTTCCTTGGTCGGGGAGGTCTTATCCTGGCTGCCTTCCGGAGGCGCCTGCTTGGAAGCGGGGCTGGGGCTGCTGCTGGTGGAGGGCAGGAGGTTGGCTGACTGCAGGACAGCTTCGGAATGCTCTCGGGCCTTCATGCGCAGGGCAGCCACGCTGGCAGTGCGGTTACTCTGGCAGCCGTAAGTGGGGAGGAAGGAGAGCCCCATGGGGTCTGGGACACAGCAAGAGCACAGTGGGCCCCCTAGAGGGAGGAAAACAATAGGCTCATCATTGTCCATATCCTGTTTCTTAGGGCTGGGGAGGGGCTGGGCCCCTTTGGTTCCAGATACTAGACTGAGGACAAAACCCAAGATGTCCAAGGATCCAAGGCTCTAGGCAACCATTGGTCATCCAAAGAGCTATCAAGACCTGGTCAGTCTTGACCCTCCCTCTCTCTCACCAGCCATCTGAGTTGTCTCAGTCCAACATTTGTCTCACTGAACCTTGACTTCTTGGGTGAAATGGAACGATACACACACAACAGAGTTGTCATAAGGGTCTGATGAAGTCATCCCACACTCCCAAACTGTGTTGCCAAGCCACCCTTAACAGCTCACTGTGCAGCTCTGCTGGGTGCCCAGCCACTCTGCCAGCTGCCACTCGAAACCACTCACAGCTTGTATGTGAGACCAGAACACATCCCATTCAAGATCAAATCTTTGTGAAGGGGACTGACTGAGCAGAAACCACACGATGGGGAAAGAAATCCCTCGTGGGTTATAAAATGAAAGTGGTGGTGTGATCTCCCTGCGGTGCTGGAGAAGCTGAGCAAGCCTCACCTTTGTGCACCAGCTCAATACAGGTGTTAGCTACTTAAACCGGTTATCTTTCCAGTTGTAAGAATCCCTTTCCAAATGCCCGAGAAGACATAGTGCTTGATAAGTCATTTTGGACCTGATCATTTAATGAAAAGGACTGTTGGCTACTGTTGATGACCCCAGAGCTGAAAGATCTGAGGTTTGGGGCTCTGAAGTAGTTGTTGGAAACACATTTAGCACACACCCAATGCCATGAATTATTATTCTTACTCACTTGTGGACTCTGGCTGGCAAGCCAAAGCTGAGCACCGTGGAGAGAACAGAGTCTCCTGTGTCTCTGATTCCCTACCATCCTGGACATGCCTATTAGCTCATGAGCTGATTTTCTGCTGTCTGGCATGGCTTGAAGTCCCCCTCTTCAGACCACTGAAGAGCAATAATCCAGATATAATGCCCCTTTGTTTTCAAAGCCATGAAGGCCGTTGTCTCACAGAGACCAGCCTCTGGGGGTAATGTCAGCAATGTCGGGTATGTAGGCAGCTGGAAGACCTACATAGTTTTGCTCTCAGTGCTGGGGCTGGGCAACCCTCCTCCTCTTCAGCATATTCAAGGATATTGCCCTTCTTTGCCCATCCTGCTCAAAAGCAACAAGAAGATCCCCTTAGCCCATTCATCATTACCTCTCCTCACCAGTATGACCCTGATAGGGGTGAATATCCCTCCTCGCCCTCTCCTAATTAGGGGTCAGAGGTTCCATGCCTTACACAGGTGGGAGCAACTGCTTCTGGCATCTTCCTTCCTTGGTTTTTAAACGAGGACCTGCTATCTATATACAGGTAGGAGATGGGAGATGTCATTCTGTATATATGTTCCCCTTATTGATTAGTGAATAATGCACTATTGGCAAATAGGAAGGCAAGAAAGGTGGGATTAGGAGACAAGGAGGATTCTGGGAGAGGTAGTAAAGAGGAGTCAAAAATGTAGGACCAAGAGGAGTAAGAGGTCTGGACCCTCTCTCCGGTAAGATAAGACCACATGGAGACATTTATATTGATAGAAATGGATTAATAGCTGAGACAGAGCTAGCCAATAAGAATCTCTAGCCATTGGCTAATAGTTTCATAGCTAATACAGTGTCTCTGTGTGTCATTTGGGGCTGTTGGACCAGGCTGGCAGGAAAGTGCACGTAACAGGTAGGATCTACCAAGACGATGCGGAGACGTACCAACAAGGCCAAGTGCACAAGGGAATTCTGAGAACCCTGACTGCCTGGCTGGCACCTGACCTGAGGTGCATTTGCTCAGGCTCTGAGTCCTGTGTGTTCCTTGTTCCCAGCAGCTTCACATAGACAAGATAGGATGCTAATACAAGTCACAGAGAGATGTCCCTATAGAGACTCAGTTTTTGCCGGGAAGGATGTCTGTGCTGGCACCATGATTTGGGGACCATCCCTAGGAGGTCTCCTCCATACAACTCTCCTTCCAAACAAGGCAGTTGTCTACGAAAACCAAAGGTGTGAAGAAACCAAAATATTGGGGAGAAGGATAGCAAAGAACTTGTGGTTTTCTCAGTTTGGATTGTTTACACTTTTCTGTAATAATCATGAATTTCATTTAAACCTAGAAACCTTCTTTGTTAATGAATGGTTAAAAGAGAGGAGACTGGAGATGACCCAGCACACCTAAGAGAAAGCCAAGTGGCAGGGAACCCAGGGCCACACACAAGCTGAAAGTCCCAGAGAGTGGGCTGGGGACCTGGAAGGAGCCATAGGCTCAGGCTCCACAGGCTCATCCCTGGCAGTCACTGTGTTGAGCTACTTAAGGAAGGCTAGTTTTGCCGCAGAATATGACTTGTTCCAGTGTGTACTGTGAGTTAGATGCTCTGTGGCTCGGGTGACAGGTACCTTCTGTAGAATACAGGAGTGAGAAAGCCACAGCCAACAGTGACCCCAACAAAGTCTCCAGTAACTTCAGTCCCGGCCCTCAAACACCAGGTTTAGAGGCAAACAAGAAATGTTTCAGAATCCAGTTTGTGGCCTGGCTCTCACTCACCCCATCCTAGACAGATGGAGAAACTGAGGACCAAATGAAGTCAAAGTCTCTAAAGGACCCTACGATTAAAACTGCTTTACACACCATAGAGTGGCAGTCTTCTTTGGAAGGAGACACTGACCCATGTTACAAGAAGGGACCCCAAGGGCTTGCTAAGTGAAATTAGCCATTAGGAAGACAGTACTGCAGGATTCCAGTCAAGATAGTAGAAAAATCTATAGGGACAGAAAGTAGATTGTCAGCCCTAGGGGCTTGGGACAAGTAGGAACAAGAAGCTGTGCAACTTTAGTCTTCTGAGAGGAAAAGCATTCAAATATTTCACTAAGTGAACAGTCATCCCTCAGCATTCTTGTAGGACTACCTGCAACACCAAAACCTAATGATGCCTTAGTCCCTTATAAGAGAATGGTAGTGTTGCACAGAAACCATGAGCATCCTCTTACATTCTTTCACCTCTGGGCTATACAAGCTTTGGGCAAGTAGCTGTCATACTGCATTGTTTAGGCAATAATCACAAGAAAAAAAAATCGTATGCCTGGGTTGTTGAATTGAGGAATGGAGAACCCTGCACATCCAGGGATGACTGCACATTTAACAACATTGAAATGTACACTTAACAGTGGTTAAGGGCTTGGAGAGTTACTCCACAGTTAAAACCACAAAATGCTCTTGCAGAGGACCCAGTTCAGTTCCCAGAATCCACATCGGGTGGCTGACAACCACCTGAAACTCCAACTCCACGAGACCTGGCACCCTCTGACCTCCAAGAACATAGCACTCAAATGCATGAACCCTTCCTGTAGACATATATGCACATACTTAAATTAATTAAATACATATTTTGTTTGTTTGTTTTTCAAGACAGGGTTTCTCTGTGTAGCTTTAGACCCTGTCCTGGAACTTGCTCTGTAAACCAAGCTGGCCTTGAACTCACAGAGACCCACCTGCCTCTGCCTCTCGAGTACTGGGATTAAAGGCATGCACCACCATTGCCCAGTCAAAATAAATCTTTTATTTTTTTAATGTGGCTAAGATAATAAATTAGTTAAGTGCACTTTGCCATGATTAAAAATAAATTTTTAAAACTAACACAGGGTCAAAGGATGGGTCCAACTGGTCCAGGATGATATGGACCACATGAGGCTGCTAAGACTCTTTTCCAGTTCTTACAGTGACTGAGGGCCTTCAGAGTTCCTGGGGCCACCCTTCCTGCTTAGCCAGGCAGCTTCACACCCACAGGCTGATTCCCTCCACCCTGCTGGCGTGGTGCATCTCTGACTAAGGCAGCATTGCAGGATTCTAAGAAGGACACCGACTCTGAGATGAACACTGACCACTGAGGTCCTGAGGCATTCATCAGTGGTCAAGGTGACTAAATGAACTCACACATGCCGGAACTACCCATCCAGGAAAGCTGGGAGATGAAACCTCACAGAGTGAAGGATGTCTGATGTGGTACCTTAAAGGGCCATCCCCTCATTCTTCCCTACTCTGCCCTGAATATAAGCATGGAAGATGTGACTAGCCAGGATGGAAATGTGTATGAGACAGACAGGAGACACGCTGTCTATGTGATAGCATCGAAGCAAGCAGAACACAATGGAGACAGTGTGAGATTAACAGGGAGAAGTGTGGAATCTGTGACCTGTACCCAGTGATCCAATCTTTTGCCGTGAAACCTGCTTTGTCCATGAGCACAATGTCAATGTGACTTTATGGGAGACTTGTTGTGACCCCATAATGTCATAAGCTGCCTTAATAGAGGCAAAACCCACATGAATGAGGAGGACAGAATCTTATTCCTCTCAGGTGGCAAACCATGCCTTTAGACCTCCATCAGCTAAAACTTAGATCAAAATCTATACAGTGCCCAAGAAGTCATTTACCAAGTGCTTTGGGGTTCTTGTACATGTGTTTCTAGCAGCTAAAATTGTCTGGTTTAGAAGGTTGTCACAGAAAAAAAATGTGACTGTTGATAGCAAACACGTTAGTGAGTAATAAAGAGGAGACAAAATTACATAAACAACCCTTTACAAAACACAGAGTAACCTAGGGCTGTTTAATACGGGGAAAGCCATGCAAAAGGTTACCTGAGGACTAGACAGGGAGCCCATGGGTAACCTGCTTGCTGAGTAAGAATAGGAACCTGAGTTCAGATTCCCAGAACCCACGAAACAGCTTGGTTCAGTGATACATGCCTGTAACAAAGACAGGCAGATTCTGGGGCCTTGCTTGCCAGTTGAAATGGGAAGTTCCAGGTGCAGTTAGAGACCCAGTCTCAAAAAGTATGGTAAAATGATGGAGGAAGGTAACCTATGACTTCCACTCACTCTTGAATAAGTGAGTATGCACACATATATGGACAAACATATACATATGTGTGTATACATATA